AGCTAGGTGTGTTGCGCATGTGTATCTGCAATTTATTTTATATACTAGAAGACTTATCATTTTTATTTAAAGGCTTGATCCTAAATCTCTCCCTCCTACGTTTTTTTGGGTGGATCATACCCTTGCTAAAAATGCCAGATGATGAGGTTTTGGATCGTGTAGGCCTGGACGCTGTTGTAGTAAGCTGTTTTTTCATTTATTATCATCAGATATTTTATAGTGAACTTCATATTGTGACTAACTATTCCCTATAGCTTTTATCATTTTTTGGAATGTCATACAAATTATTTGCATTTTGCAGTTTTTTCGGATTGGTTGTACTTTCTCCAATAAAGTTGACTGGCTACGTTTATGGTAACTATAGCCAAAACCCACAAGAAGATACTCCAATAGGAATTCCTGAGCATGACACGCCGGAACCATTAGAGTCTTATGGAATTTTGCTATCATATGTTATATTCACTTGGGTTTTCTCGCTTGCAACATTTTTTTTCACGCAGTATAATTATCGTAAATTTTCAAGAATGCGACGTCGTTATTACTGCAAATGGAAATATAATATTAATGCGAGAACTGTGATGGTAACCGTACTACCGAAGAACTTACAAACTGAATCTGAGCTCGAAAAATTTTATAATTCATTAGGACTTGGATCGGTTCAAAGGGTGGTTGTTCACAAGAATGTAAGAAAATTAAGGCACGCACTTGAGAAACGCACATATTATTTAAGGATGCTTGAAAGAGCCTACCAAGAATATTTGGGTAATCCTTGTGATTATCCTGGTTATGATCCTGATGAAGCACTCAAGGAATTTGAACAAACTAGACAAATTACGATTCTTTCAAATACTCAAAATATTCCAAAACAACGTCCAACAATCCGAGATGGTTTTCTAGGTTTATTTGGCAAAAAAGTTGATAAGATTGAGCATTACACAAATTTGTTTAACTACTATGACAAGTTAGTTGAACATGGTAGACATGGCAAATATATGCATACATCAGTCGGATTTGTGACATTTGAGAAAGTTATTAGCGCGGTATTACAATCATTTTGATTTACATAATAGGGTGGTTGAGATTATATCATACATAATCATATTTCTTACTTTTGCTGCTCAAATTTTAGCAACTAGCTGCACAAGTTTTTGTATGTGATAAACCATTTCAATGCCAAACTACAATTGCACCTGAACCTTGGAATGTGTATGTTTAAATTGTCTACATGAATTGATTATTGATGGCTTGTAGCACAATTTT